TTTTGTGGGGGGGGGGGGAAACAGGGCCAGGCCAGCTGAGAGGGCCCAGCACTCCGTTTACAAAGCCTCACTCCCCCTCCCCAAATCCCTGGCAGGGGGCCAACGCTCCCCCCCATTCCATCTCCCCTACTCAGCCGCCCTACAGATGTCTAAAGATGCCAGAAGGGGAAGCACGGAGCAGGGAAGGTTCCCTCCAGCGCAGGACGGGGTGGGGGGTGGGAAAAAGAAGAATTAATTAGGGGCAGATGGGCAAGGAACAATGAAGCCAAGGTGGAGAGAGAGAGAGAGAGAGAGGGATGGGATCAATAAGAGGGGAAGGCCAGGCTAAGGGGAAGAAGGGAAGCCCCCCCACCCCCAAAAGCCTGTTTCTAACTTTCCAGACCTCCCACTTCCACTCTGGGAGTTTGTCCCTTTTATCTCCCAAATCCAATAGAAACCAGACGCCTTTTCTTGCGGTGCCAAATCGGAGCAAAACACGGGTCAGGGTGGGTGTGCTATTATTCCCCCCCCCCCCCCGGGGGGGGGGAGAGCCTCTTGGTTGGGGTTCATTCGGGCCCCAGCTTAGCCGCCCCTTCTTTTCCCACCTGCGACGGCAGGTAAACTTGGGCGACGGAGTGGACTAAAGGCACCCGGGACAGGCAGGGATTCCCCAGGTGGGCATCGCCGGAGGGCCGAGGAATTAAAAGGGTCTGGCGGGCGGGCGGGCCTTCCGCTCCCCCGAGGAGCCTCTTCGACTCACCTTCATGAATCTCCCGTGGAGAAGGTACGGGGCCTGGAAGTCGTGTTGGCAGTTGGAATACGCCATTCCTAGGCCCATGCCCGAGCCGAAAGCGAGCGGCCAGGTCTTTCCTGCCACGAAAAGGGAAATAAGCCGTTAAGGAACACAAGGCCCCAGAAAGGCCCTTTGCCCTGCCTGCCACAGTCAGAAAGCCCTGGAAGGGCAGAGGGGGTGGCAGAGAGACGGAGAGAGAGAGAGAGAGACAAGAGAGACAGAGACCAGCAAGGCAAAACCAGCAAGTCTTTGTTGGAGCTGCCTTGAGGTGCCTCCCTCTCTTTGGCCTTTTGAGACACACGGTGTGAAGTGTGTTGATGCCGATTTCGCCTCATTACAAAACAAAGGTGTTGTTACTTTGGGAAAAGGGCAGAGAAAAGCAACTAAAAACGATTAAAGGCCCGGAGAATAAAACATACGAAGAACGGGTTGCAGGAACTGGTCTAGGGAAAAAAGAAGGACCAGCGGGGAACGTCATTCCAGCCTTTGAGGGGCTGCCGCAAAGAAGAGGGGGCTCGATTTATTCTCCGAATCACCTGAAGGCAGGACAAGAGAAGATAGATGGAAACTAAGGAGAGGAGCAACCCGGACAATCAACCCGTGGAACAGAAGTTGTGGGGGCTTCATTTCACTGGAGGCTTTCGAGAAGAGACTGGACAGCCACTTTTCAGAAATGGTGTAGGGGGTCTCCCGCTTGGGTGGGTGGGGTTGGACTAGAAGACCTCCAAGGTCCCTTCCCATTCTGTTGTTCTGTTAATCTGAGGTGCATCTCTCTTTCACCACCAGGCTTGGCTCGTTTTGAATACTGCTCGTTCCCCATTTCGGATTCAGGGTTTGTCTTTTTTTTTTTTCAAAACACCCATCGAAGTTGGTTAGCTGCCCTGGGTGTACACGCTAGGTTAGGTGGCCAGGTGTTTATCCAAGCCTTTGCCAGTCTCCTAACCACTTGGCA